CACCCTCACATACTGATATTAAGTCCTCAGAGTAAAGAAAGTTGGGATAAAATAGCAAGTAAAGTAAAATCAGCAGAAGTTTTAAACAAAAATCAAACATTTCTTAAAGGTGCCGGGTATGTCAAGGGTGGGTCTCTGCTTGCCCTGGGGTGGGATCCCGCTCAGGGGAGGGGCCAGCCTGAGAGACCGTGAGGACACTGGGGCAGGGGACAGCCTGAGAGGGGGAGGACAGTCTCCCCACCACCCCGCCAGGTGCCCAGGGACTTGAGAAGTGAAACGCTTTCGAGTTCGAACGTATGTCCTCGTGTGTCAGAGCTTTACATGAGCACGTACTTTCCATCCCTCCACCCCGTTGGATGAGAGCCAGTGTCATCGACCCAGATCCATGTGCCAGCGCCTGTAGCTGCATGCACTCCCATGTGTGTGCACACTCGTACCTCCGTGCACACGTGTATCCGTGCCTATGTGTATGCATCTGTGCGCACACCCATCTTGCACGCTTATGTGTGTGTGTGCTTGTGCTTCGCAGAAACCCGTGATGACCCACAAGCCCTAAAGGGGGAGGCTCGTGGGAACAGGACAGCGTGACAGCAGCCGCAGCCTTGCCTTCCCTCCTCCACGGCCATCGCACCCCTCCCTCCGCCTGCACCGTCCACGAGGGACCCCACCTGTGAGATGGCACCGGTCCTCAGACCTGCAGCTGCCCACACGCCCACACACCCTCCCTGACGGCTTTCAAGGCTGCCTGCCAGGCCACTCTGGCCCACGAGGACCCCGGGCCGGGGCGGCTCTCCCCTGGGACGCTGCGGCTCAAACCTCTTTCCGTGCGGCCTTCACTGGTCTCACCACTGCCTGCCTTACGTTGCTCTCATGGACGGAACAGGAAGGGGCGATGTGTGGCCTTGACCGTGCCGTGCTGTGGGCAGGTGTGCGTGTGTTTCTGTGGCGGGGGGGCGTGACTGGAGAAGGAAACCAGGCATCAAGACAAGCGACAGAACTCGTGACCACTGCACACAAGGGAGGAGCAGACGCCCAATGACAGACACGCCTGTCCTGCAAGGTCCCCCGTGGTTCACGGACCAGGAGAGGTGACCGAGGGCAAGGGCAGCATGTGAGCATTCGGTCAGTGCCCAGGCACAGGCGCAGATGACCTTCCAGGAAAGGCGGCTAGACGGGATCCCAGCCTGGCACGGCCCCTCACTGCGCTGGCGACCTTCCAGGAAAGGCGGCTGAGGGCGTGCTAGATGGGATCCCAGCCTGGCACGGCCCCTCACTGCGCTGGACTGTGTAGGACTGAGGGCCAAGGACCAGTTAGTGATGCCTGCCAGCCACTTGCCATCGGCTCCGTAGCTGAGCCCGAGTCCCACCCCCTCGGACAGTCTGGGGTTGAAGGCTGCTTCTGGGCATCTGTGTGGCTCATCACTTTGAAGGGGACCCACTGGGACCCTCCAGAGCTGCCTTTGAGCGTGAAAGCAGTCGTCACATCTCCGTCGCTAAGCGTGGCTGCAGCTCCACAGGTTCACTGATGTATTTAGTCCTCAGGTTAAATTTACTGGGGGAAGGGGTCAGCCCATGCAGAGGAGGACGCTGAGCCCTGAGTGCGAGGTGGTGTCTCCTGCAGCTACTGATGTGACCCCCAATACTTCCTGAAGTGCCTTTGGGGCAGCTTGAACTCGGCTCTCTCAGACTGGGGCTTCTGTTCAGTTGACATGGTGACCAGACGAGGAAGTCAAAGCGGAGATGCCCAAGGGCCCGTGGTGGTGTCTTCCTTGGACCTGACTGTGGACAGAGCCCAGAGCCCGCCCACGGCTGTACAGAGCCAATACTACTGGCTTCGCACGTCCACGGAGCCATGGACGTCACAGCCACCGCCCAGGTCCCGTGGCAGCTCCCAGAGCAAAGGCAGCGTCTCGGGGATCAGCTCCGAGTGGATGGACCGGCTTCAGCGGCGCTAGGGTTCGTGGGGAAGGTGGGTCCGAGGCCTCCTCTCGGCGGAGGCCGGTTGACGTGCATCACCCCCACGCAGCGCTTCACGTGATTAAACGGTCCCTGCAGAAGCAAGGGAGGCGGTGTTCTGTGCGCCCTCCTTGCTCACAGAGCGAAGTGGCCGGCCCGCTGCCCTGACACGTCCCTGCATGTTACTACAGCAGGGACAGCAAGTCCCTGCCCCCCCAGAGCCAGGCACGGCACCGTGCTCTGGGCACCTGCATCCGGCCCATGGCCAAGGCCCCTTTAAGGAGCTGCAGATGCACAGAGCAGCCACCTGGCCGTGCCTCGGGCTCCTCCGACACCTGCCACCAGAACTCATCACTTCTCCGTCCACAGAGCCCCTGTCTCGGCCCACCCAGCTCCGACCCGCACCTCAACCCCAGTCCTCAGGCCCCTCGTCAGCCCCCAGGCCCCACCCTCTGTGTCTCCCACGCCACTTCCAAATCCAGATTCTCCCTCAAACTCCTTCAGAAAACAGGAAAAGGAGACAGTACCCTCGGTGAGGTTATAAAACGTCAACACCAAACAGAACAGACAGGAAGGAAAGGAAAATTAAAGGCATCAGATGAGTGGGCCACATCCAGCAATGTGTTAAAAACCCTACTTATCTCGGCCGAGTGAGCTCATCCCGGATAAGCAAGGAACTTTCAGTGTTAGAAAAAGTCCACATCATCGTAGCACACTGCAGGCTAAACAGGTTACATGTGAAAAACGCAACGATCATTTTAATCAATGAAGAAGATCATATGAAACAAAGAACCAGCTCAGCCAATTGAAGCTGGAAGGCGGGGTGGCCAGGCCTTTGTTCCCAGGCACCAGAACCTCTGCAGATGCGGGGTGGGCTTCCAGAGAGGAACTCTGTTGCACAGGTTCAAGTTCATATGCTCCACACGAGGCCACGTGCTGTCCTGGGTGAAATACCAATCGGCCAAAGCCAGAGCGAGAGCATGTGGCTCCCTGCCCCGACACCCAGGACCCAGTCAAAGAGGTTGTAGGCAGAGCTCCCTGGGCTTGGGGCTCCAGTCACACCGGCTCTGGGGACCCATTCCCAAGGCACACAGCAGCCAGGAGAAGCCCCAGGAGCCAAGCGCCAATACCTCACTTGTGTCTGCCACCTGCCACGTCACATCTCCAGCTCTCAAAGTGCCCCTCAATAATCCCGGGTCCACTGATGGGTGCCACCAGAGACCACGGCAGGGGACACCATTCTCCCCTCAGAAGGGCTGAGGCCTCTGCTTCCACACTGAGTGGGAGGAGGGGCTGGAACAGTGTCACAGTGCCAGGGCCACCTCCCCCTGGCCTGCTGCCGCCCATTGGTGAGCCCCCAAAGTGGCAGGGCACCAACGCAACACTGTGACAAGTCTACTTTGCTGAAAGGGGGTTCACTGCCCCCTTACACGCATGTGCACACACATGTACACACAGGCACGTGTGTGCACAACACACACAGGTACATTCACACATGTACACAGGCATGTGAACACATGTGTGACACAGGCATGTGCACGCACAGGCACATGCACATCTGTGTGTACACAGATACATGCACACGCAATGCGCACGCGTGCACACACAGGTATGTGCACACACAATACACAGGCGCGTGCGCGCTCACTCTCCCACGGTGATGCTCGCACAGCCACCTCCAGCTCCCGTGGTCCCGAACTTCCTGTAGTTTCCGTTGTCCCGGGCGGCCGGTACCACACACACGTCCCACGGGCACTGCCCTGGGGACTCACGCCAAGGCAGGCCCACACCTCGGGCCCGCGGTCCTCCATCATCACCGCTATCCGTAAGAACCATCCAGGGGCTTTGGCCACCACCCATGCTGGGCCACCCCAGGACTTCTGACGGACCCATCCCCAGCGACCTCACTCGGCAGCCAGGGTGACGGCCCTGCGCCCGCCCTCCACCCCCTCTCCTGACACTAGCCCTCACCACCGCCCCGGACTCCAGACCCCCAGGGCGCCCACCAGCCACCACAGCTTCACCACCAGCAGTGGGCAGCCGGGTATGACAACCCCCAGAGGGTGAAGTGCTGCCCCGAAGATTCTTCTAGAATCTGATGGAGGCACATGACTTGGCACATCGCCACCCCGCACGTCCAAGGGGCAGCCGAGAGGTCCCTGCCTCAGCACAGCTTCCCCAAGACTATGCCCAAACCACTTACTGGCCTGGACACAATCGGGTTATTCGGAATATGAATAAGTTAAATGGTAGAATATCGGGTAGTTATTTCAAATGGTATCGATATTCATCATGAAAAGAATGAGATTCAAAACATATAAATATGCCTAGTCTGCCCCGCAAACGTGGGGATCCCACTGGAGGGGAACAGAGCACACACGTTAAATTCCTTCCAAATGTATATAAATTGCTTCTATAATAAACGTCAACATATTTGTTTCCTAATAATAACAAACCTACTTTAAACGTTAACTAGAAAGACTTGTAAAAGCCTAGAAAAAAGATGTATTTTAAGTTGTGGAAACAGGATGAAAGTAGTTTGTACATGGTGAACGCCACTACGGAAAGCCACGTGAGTGATGGACAAGGACGGGGAGGTGTCACGAAGATACAGAACCGCCGTGCCAGGCACGGGTGGCCTGTCCTCTCACCTCCCCAGTGGGAACCACGATTCGGAGGAGGGGCTGCTGCACGGTCACCTTTCTGGGTCGTGACAGTGGCTCCGGTGCTGCCCGGACCGCTGGCGCCTGACTTTGCAGTCTGCCGCTAAGGCCAGCGTGAAGAAGGAAGCTAATGTGTTCTAAAACCACTCGGCCCAAATGAAATTACATAACCCAGGAGGGACAAATCCCTGTCGTTGATGAGAGTTTAAAAAAAAACGGAAAACAAAGACTCCGTCTTTGACGCTGCCCAGTGAGGGATGGGGGAGGGGGCTGTCTGGGGGTCGCCCACTTCCTCCTCGGCTATAAAAGGAGTGAGCTGGCTCCCACCTGAGTCACCACTCAGGACACCGGCAGCACTCAGCACCGCCGTGGGGAACCGCGGTGAGTAGCCTGGGACTGGGGAGGCACCGTCACTCTGCCCCCTGCCTCTGCAGAATCTCTCAGTCTGGGTGTGGGTCACGGCCCTCGGCACCCAGGGCTAGCACCGAGGGAGCCAGGCAGGGCAGTCGCCCCACCGTGTGTGTGTCCGAGGGCCGCCCCTGCCTGCCCGCCCGGGGACCCCAGGGCTCAAGCACTCCATGGTGGAGACAAGAGGCCAAGGCGGCCGGAGCGACTTCCCTGGGAACGCAGAGCAGGAATCGCACAGGCGACAGCAACACCCTCCACCTGAGGGGACACGGGTCCTCGGGGATCAGGCGCCAGGCGCTGATCACATTCTCCTGAGACGCCCTCCTCCTGACGTGGGTCCCCGCCAGGCTGCATACAGCTCTTTATCACCGTGCTTTCACGGCACCTCCATGTCCTCCGAGTCAGGGGTCCCCCACCCCATGTGCGACACCCCAGCAGGTCTCTACAAAGGGGAGGGGTGTGCATTTTATATCGCTCAGGTGGAGCGCACCTTCCACAGGGCTCGGGGCCAGGCTGGAAAGGCAGAGTGGGCAGAAGGGTGATCCCTGAGACAAACAGGGCTCTTGGGCGTCATCTGGTGGCTCCTGAAGTGCCGAGGGTGGGGGCATCCGGGAGGGGCCAGCCCCTGAGGCTGGGACAGGTGCCAGGTCTGCCGGGTGGATGCATCTAGGCAGATCGGCACCTCCACTCCAGCAGGACGAAAGGTGGGTGTTCTGGTACCTCTGTGGCCTGCAGCGCCCTCTCCCTCCACCGTCTAGGGGATTGTCCTGCCACGTGAGACCAGGTCCCACCTTCTGCAGGCTTATCCTGGAGGCTCTGCAGGTTGCATGTGGGGTTGTGGGAAGGGGGTTGCTCTTGGTAAGGACACAGGATGCCAACTCTCCTGCAACACCAGGATTGTCAGCTGACACCCTTCAGCAGGGAAGGGGCAGGACTGAAGTGGGCATCAGGAGGTCAGGAGGTCCTGGGACGGTGAGGCAAAGAATCTTGCACCACACCACACCCCCGCACCCCCCCTCCCGAGCCTGGTCCAGGCCCAGCACCCCGAGCCTCCCAGGTCATAATTGATGTTGGGTAAGTGCCCCCTACAGCTCTGCAGGCCCTTGGGGCTCTCCAACCTGCTCACCTCGGCCCCCCGCCCAGGCCCAGGTGCACAGCACGTGCAGCCACGCAGAGACCTCCCGCATCTCCCGGTTCCCTGACACAGACAGACTGACAGATCACCTCTCCACACCCACAGCTCGTACACCCTCTGGTTCCTTCTGCTGACAGTCTGTGCGAACACCTTTCTGATGGCAGAGGAGCCCGTCAGAGGCAACACGCACACAATCACCTCATTTAATGCTCACTGTACAGAGGAGAGAATGGGGTGAGGGGGGCAGGGCAGCCTGCAACTTCTGTGCTCACGCCCACCCCAGCACAGGGCAGAGAAATGCACGCACACACGTGCACAAGCATGTAACCACATGCAGTCACGTGCACACGAGCACGTGCGGGCACGCACGCCTCACACGTGTGCACACGCGCGCACACTCACCTGTGCATGCACATTCACACGACGCCCGCGCCAGCTGGTCGCCCCGCTCTGTGCGCATGCGCCTGCGCCCTGCTGACGTCGCCCCACCCTCCGCCCCAGGCCGCGCCCTCCCGTGCGGGATCCCACCTCGAGCAGCCCCAGCCTCGCAGGAGCGGGCGGGATGCGGGAGCCGCGGGCGTGGCTCTTGTGCCTGCTGCTGCTGGGCCTGGCCCTGCCGGGGGCTGCCAGCCGAGCCCGCCAGCGCTCCATGGAGATCCGCAGTGAGTGCCGGGACCCCTCACCTGCCGACCCCACCTCCTCACCTGGGCCATCATCCTGGACCCCACCTCGCCGCCCCAGGGCCACCTCCTCACCTGGGCCATCATCCTGGCCACGTGCCCCAGCGCTGGTCTTCACCTGTCCTCTCCCCAGAGTGGCCCTGTCACCTGCGCCCCAGGGTCCCTGTCCAGCACGCACTGGAGGGGTTCACTTCCCCACCAGGGAGGTCTGGGGCCGAGCAGGCTTTGCCCGCCCCTGGCACGAGAATGGAGGGTGGGAAGGGAGTTGGTCCTTGGTCCTAGGGTAAGTTTGAATTGTCATTTCCCAAAGCCACCCCACCACCCAGAAATGGCTCCGCAGACCCCCTGGGTGCCCCTCTTTATGGGGTCATCCAGCACGGCCTGGGTGACTGGGCAGCCGTGAGCCAAGCATGTGCATGTGCACTGGGCACTGCCATCGGCCCAGCGGGAGCCCAGGGCGCACACAGCAGGGGCCACGCATCTGTGACAGCTCTCACTGTCCCCCTCCAGCCCCGGACATCGACCCTGCCTGGTACATGGGCCGCAGGATCAGGCCCGTGGGCCGCTTCGGCCGGAGGAGGCTGGCTCTGAGGAACATCCCGAAGCACCTGGCCGGCTTGTCCAGGGAGGGGGTGCCAAGCCCCTGGGGAGGGTGACAGCCCCTCCCTCTTCACCAGGGGCCGCTTTCCCTTCAACCCCAATAAAAGCAGCTGGCCCTGTCCAGATGTGTCTGTGTGGTGACATGCTGGGGTTTTCTTCCGTGGCATGCTAGCCCAGGACACACAGAGCTCAGCATGTCAGAGGCTCCATGACTCACCCATGGGCACCCAGCACAGAGCAGGGGAGCTGGGAGTGTCCTGGCCACCTGCGGCCACGGTGCCCTCCTCCTGAGGCACCCCGAATGGCCGCCCAGGCTGCACACTGCACAGACCGCTCCGCAGGAGGCCCCCCAGGGAAGGACGCCCCGCCCCTCAGCCCACCCTGCCCCTCCCTCAGCCCCAGCCCCTTGGCCTCCCTGGTTGGTATTCAGGAGAGAATCATGGGCTCCTCGGTCCCAGTCGGCCCTGGGGAGGCGTGAACCCGCATGGCTTCCGCCCACAGCGTGTCCCTTTGCCGCCTGTTTCAAATGCCGCGGTGGTGTCTCTGTGTCTTGCCTCAGATGTAACTCGCTTTGGGGTGAGGGGACAGTCCACTCCTAACTGGGCGACTGAGCCCAGCCCTTAGCTCCTCTGAGCCTCGGTTTCCACATCTGGTGGGGACACGTGCTCGGTGAGTGCCAACCCCTTCCTCGAGCCCGGTCCCAATCCAGCACTGGGGGACTTCCGGACATGATCGTCCATAGCCCACCCTGCCCTCAGGACTCCTGTCCGCCACGCTCGGGAGGGCCCAGTGACCAGGACCCAGACAGGCTGCAGGACACCAGCTGTCCCTGCTCTAATTCAAGGAAGGCGGGTCCACGGCTCACCAGCCAGTGAGAGGAGGCAGAGCTGGCCCAGACCAGCTGGATGGGGCTGTGCCAGGGGCTGCCCCACCTCCTGGCTCGCAGGGAGGCCAGGGAAAGGCAGGAGGCCATGTCCTCCAGGGGAGAACCCCTGCCATGAGGGCCCGTCCCCAGGTCCCCAGGGTGGAGTGAGCACGTGGGAACAGGGCCAGACTGCTCCCCGGGCAGCAGGTGCTGGGCTGGGCCTGGCTCACAGCCCAGGAGAGCCAGCGGGCGGGTCCTCGAACAGCTGCACAAGGACCCGCACCTCCCCTGGGAATGTGCCCAAGAGACCCGAGGACAATGCAGGGGAGCGCTCACAGCAGCAGAGAGCCGGAGTCGGGAGCGGGGGCGGGGCGGGGGCCGCCAGCGCCAGCGGCAGGTCCCGGGGCACCGCGGCGGTCTGTGTGCACGGCGGAGTGCAGCTCAGCCGCACAGCCGAGCGAAGCCCTGACACCTGCAATGCGGATGGACCTCGACGACGGGGCTGCGTGCCGGAGCCCGGACTCGGGAGCCCCCACTCGGGAGCCCGCACGTCGGGTGCTCCCACTTCCGTGGCGTGCCCATTTGCAGAGACAGGAAGGCCATCGGCGTTGCCGGCCGGGGGAGGGGTGGGGAGCGACTCCTGAACTGGCACGGGCTTCTTCTAGGGGGGTGAAATGTCTTGAAACTGAATGGGGGGGGCGGGGGGCGGGGTGCAAAACACCGTGGATGTGCTCGATGCCCCCGAAGTGTGCAGGACACTAAAAACGAAAACAGACTCCACAGCCGGCGGCGGGTGGTGGGGAGCCCAGAATGGAAACGTGGCAGTGTGACAGCGGGCTCCAGATTCCCACCGGGCCTGGGGTCTCTGAGCCCAGGGAACAAGGGAGGACGCCTCCCAGGGAATGCCCCGGCTTGGAGGGCGGGAGCCAGCGGCATAAGGAGCCCAGCAACCAAGTCACCGATCAGGGACGGCTGGTCCTGCTCTGCTCATAGAGCACAGTCTGTCTGCAGCTTGTGTGGCCGAGCGGGGGCCGGGGGGCCGGCTGGCATCTTCTGGCAATAGCCCAGCAGGTCGGGCCTGGACCAAGCTTCTGGGAAAGGCAGGGACAGAAGCCCAGTGGCCACTATCCACAAGCAGCAGCTGAGCAGCCCTCCTTGTCAGCTGGGGCAGTGGCAGGGTCCCTGGTGGTGACCTGTCCTCTGGAGGGCCCGAGAGAGGGAAATTCTCCTGAGGTGCATCAGATGGACTCAAGCCTTCTGTGCCTCTGGCCAGCCGAGGGGGGGTTTGGGGGGCAGCCTTCAGACCGAGGAGTGCAGGAAAGGGGGGGAGCTCCTGCCCTCCGGGCTGGGCTGACTGCGCCCCTAAACTTCGTTTGTGGAAACCCTAACTCGCAGAACCTCGGAATGTGTCCTCACTTGGAAATAGGGTTGTCACAGAGTCGCCAAGATGCGGTCACACTGGAGTGGAGTGGCCCCTAATCTCACCCAACTGCTGTCCTCACAAAGGGGGGGATTGGGACCCAGACTCACACAGGACGGCGCCGAGCAAATGCGGCAGAGGTGACGACGCTTCTCCAGGCCAGGGAGCTCCAGGGCTGCGGGAACCGCCAGGAGCAGTCGAGGCCGGGCAGCTTCTCCCTCGGCCACCAGGAGGAGCCAGCGCTGCCCACCCCTCGCTCCCAGGCTCCTGGCCCGCACTCGGGCTGTGCCCAGAGAGAGAAGGAGGCAGACGCTTGTCTGTTTCCATGACTTCTTATTCTGCAAGTTTTCAAGCATTCGAGAAAACTCAAAAAGCTTCTCTCAGGAGCATCGCAGACGCTCCCAAGTTACGGTGTTTACTTCCCTCCCCCGCCCTCCTCTGTCCCTCTCTGCCCTTGAGAAGCGATTCCTAGACATCATGACGTTTACCCGAGATATTTCTGCATGTTGCTCCTCAAAATAAGGACAATCTTTCACACAATCACAAAATTACGCCTAAAAATTTTTGTGGTCATTCCATAATATCTAGCGTTGACTCAAAAACCACCAAATATGGCAGAAAGTCTTAGTTGTCCTTTGTTTGGAAACCGGGCTCCAATCTGAAGTCACAGTTGCAGTTAGCTATTTCTCTTTCGTCCCTGAGCTTTTCATTCGGTCGTGACTCTCACAGGAGCCCAGACGCGTCACCTCGTAGGATGATCCACGTGCGTGATTTGTCGACCGCTCCCCCAGCGGCGTCACCTCGTTCTGTCCCCGTATTTCCTGTCACTGGGAGGAAGATGTAGGGGCATAACTGGATTCAGTCACCCACTGCGGGCACGAGGCTCTGTGTCGCATCGTGTCTGACAGCGGGGCACCCCGACAGACGCCGCGCCTGACCATTTATTTGAGGCGGCTGTGTCCACCGTGAAGGGCGTCACCCTGCAACCTGCAGAGGTCCCCGCCTGAGGCCGCAGCCTGCTTCCCAAGAAGCTCAGAGCCAGTGACTTGAGCATCCGTCTGCTGAGATCCTGCCGGTGGCTCAGTGCTGATTCTCTAAGGCCATCGACGTCTCCCAGCCGGATTCTTCTAGATGTTTCTCTCTGTCTTTTTTCCCTTTGTGTTTTCTTTTGCGGTGGTTCAGCACCTTACAAATCATTTCTGATGCTCACGTGGCTCTGCGATTGGGCAGTGGGAGCCCCATAGGGAATAAATTTTGAAAGAAGAAGAATGGGTCCCTGGCTCAGTCCTGTGGGCAGAGGGGGACATGGAGGGGACACGGCCGACAGAAACAGGAGAAGGGGACAGTCACAGGCAGGTCAGCAGGAGCGCTCCAGGGTATCACTTATCAACCTCCCTGCCTCCTGCCTCCACTGTGTGCACGTGAATGCAGGCAGACACATGCACACACGCGCACACACGTGCACACACGTGCACACATGCACACACGTATGCACCAGCTCCGAGAAAACCCGGCAGCACACTCAGGCTCAGAAGGGCTGGGGCATCTTCCTGGGCTGCGTGCAGGACAGTGAGCTCACCACTGGCCTCCCCCGGGCCCCGGCGCAGTCCTAGGACCATTTGTCCTGGAGCATCTGCGCCCTGAATGCCTCAGCCACGGAGTGCACCACGCCCACCTCACCTGCCCGGCCGGCCCAGAGCCTTCCGCGAACATCTGTGCTCATGTGGTGCCGTGTCTGGGAAAAGCCGCCTTTTCTTCAGAGCTCTGGGAGGGAGGGACGGTTTCTGTCCTCTCGCTGGACACACATTTGCTGAGCGCCTGGCGTGAGTCAGACACTGTAACTGGGCACTGGGCACGCGGCGGAAGGAAGCGCGGACAGAGCCTCGGCCTCCCGCAGCGCCCCGCCTCGCCTGAGCAGGGGGTCCACCTCCGAGGGCTCCGAGCCGCCCTGCAGGCTGGTTTAACCAGAGCCCCAGTGAGCGAGGGGTGCTGCGCACGGAGGCCCCCAGGTGATCCCAATGCTGGGTTGAGCCCCATCTGCCTGGGGGGTGCGGTAAGGGCAATCACATCCCAGGTGATGGAGAACCCAGGCTCCAGGACCACAGCGCGCCCCATCCAAACGCGGGGGAGGGCGTGATAAAAGGATGCCGGGCGGAAATGAGTCCCAGGATGTTTTAATAACAAAGTCTAGCGCGGTGACACTAGCCTGACGAGTCAGGCAGAGATACACGGGCATCCTACAGATGTCATCCACACACTGTCCACTCCCCTGAAACGCCAGAAATTCCTCCGAAAGCCTGGCTTTCGGGAGTGAGGACCGGACCCGGGAGCAGCAGGTCTGCCCTAATTGGGCGGTGGTGCAGCGCCATCTAGTGGCCGGGGGCACCTCCGCCGCCCGCTCCTCCAAGGTGAGTCGGCCCGGCTGGTGCGGGGTGAGCCCAGCCCTCTAAGCCGTGGAGGCACAGAGAGCGCGAGGCAGCGGGCCCTCCCAGAAGCTATTTATTTATCCTTTAGCTTGTCTCGAAGGTCATGACAAGAAAGAGTCCTGTGCAGTCTGCTCGACTGTTGTCTGGAAAGGTCACATGAGAAGTGTCTTTTGGAATAAGCAGCGGAGAGTCTGAATCGCGGGACACCTGGGCTGTCCACCTCCCCAGACTCTGGCTCTGCCGGGGTGCAGCTCCCTCCTGGCGGGCTGGCTAATGCCCGCTGAGATGCAGTGGGGTGCAGGGAGACCCTGGGCTGCCCGCCCCCCGCACCCGATGGATCCAGACAACCACCCAGAACCTGGAAGGGGGGGCTGCCCTGAGGGGGGCCGTGACCTTCGGCAGGGACGCGGCCCTGCTGAGGTGACCTCACAGACACGGCCTAGTCGGTGCCAGCCTCCGTGTCCTGGTCAGGCCCCCGCAGGGCCTGTGTGCGGCAGAGCCCGTCCCAAAGGTCCAGGGCTGGGGGCTAGGACCATGCGGTGTGGACGAGGGCAGACAGCAGACCAGATGAGCCCCTAGAAATGCTCATGACATTTGGGTGCCAAGATGGGCAGAGTCAGCAGAAATGGACGCCTTCTACTTGTCCCTCTGACGACATGAAGACGCTTCCAGTGAAGTCCTTTCGGGTGGGTAAAATGTCCTATTTAACACTTCAGACCTGCCGAGCATAGTCCCAGGGGCAAGGATGAAAACCAGCATCGACCCCCAAAAACAGCCACCTTGCGCGGGGGCCCGCCGCCCAAAGGCACCGTCTGGCCTCTCCATAAAGGCTGATAAGCAGTGACAAGGTGACTGCATGGCATGTCACCGACAGAGAGATGTCCTGTGCCCACCTTAGTCCCCACAAGCCAGCCACGTGGGCCCGCCTCCTGTGTACTCCCCCGAGCCCCCCAGAATATGTGCAATAAAAACCCACCTTGCAAATCCACCACAGACTAGGTTACAGAAAGCAGTTTAATTTTTGGAGAAAAACACGTAAGTGGTACAGTCTATACCTCAGGCTAAAGGGCTGAGTCCTCACGCTCACCGGGCACAAGCATGTCATTGTCAAGTGCACAGCCAGGAGAGCCCCCCAGCCCTCTGGCAGACACCTCTCCCCAAGGACAACTGCCCCGAGCCCCACTGAAGATGTCCCCGGCCCCGTGACTGTCGCTGGTCACCTCCATCCAGGCCTGCTCGGTCCCCGCCCAGTCCCAGGCACAGGCGGGGTCTTGTGCAGCGCCCCGCGTGAGGCCGCCGTCCACCCACCACGTGGTCCGAGCCCTGTATTCCCGACCTGACCCCCGACCTGTTTCATTCCTCTGCGTCGGGAGGCAGCAGAGGGCACAACCAGCCTGGCAGGGGCGGGCGCGCCTGGTCTGGCCATTTGGGATTCGGTCTGTGTCGGGGTGTCGGGGTATTGGGAGGCGGATCTGACACCCCGGGAGCCATCTGATACCAGCGCTGTCCTGCACGACCCCGCCAGTTCCGAGGGGTGCCAGCTCCAGCCACTTCTAGGACTCAGGAACAAACCGGCGCCCATGGAGAGTCAGAATCGAGTGCCACTGTGCACATAGAGCCGGCAGCGGCTCCCTGAGGACAGCCTGGCCCGGGCCTGGGGGCCCCTCCCGCGGCCCCTCCCACCGAGGCCGCTCCTAGTGGCCGCAGCACCTGGCCGCGCCGGGCGCCTGGTTCGCCGCCAGCTGTGCGCGTCCCCGCGGCGTCTGCTTCTCCGCCTTCTCCTCCGCCCTGCGCACCAGCTCCTGCGCTGGGACCCACGCGGGACGAGGGTTGCTGGGGGGCGGGGGAGACCCCGGCCCAGCAGCCCCAGCACACAGGGCCGTCCCGGGACGCCAGCCCTCCCTGCCGCTCTCCCGGAGCCAGTGACTCTCCCGCTCCCCGTCCCGGCCCCACAGACTTGCCGCTGGTCCCAGGACTCCGGGAAAGCAGACCCTTGGCGGTGCGGGGGTGGGAGGGACGGTCACTCACCAACTGCATGGAAGGCCTCGGTCACCTGGTGGTTCAGTCTGGCTGAGGTTTCCATGAACAGCAGGCACTGGCTCGCGGCGAACTCCGCCCCTTCCTGGGGAGAACACCCCGGACACGCAGGCCGCTCAGGGGAGCCGTGAGGACGCTCGGCGCCCACAGCCGCGTGTGGCCGGTGCCACCACGTGCATTTGGGGTGTTTCGTTTGGCGGTTCCCAGCTTTTCTGAGATCTACCCAGTTGCCTTCTAAGGCGGACCCGCCAGCCAGGTGTGGCCAGTGGAGAATCAGGGCCTCTGGCTCGTCCTGCCCCAGGGCTGTGTCCCCGTGCCCCTGAGCAGGGGCAGAGTCTGAGGAGGCCACTCCTTGGCATGACCCCTGTCCCCACGGCTCCCTGGCACCTGTGGGCTCTGAGACTCGGGCAGACACCAAGCGACAAGGGGGGAAGCGTGGAGGGGCAGTGGGGACAGGCCCCTGGAGGAGCCCACCAGACCTTCCTCTGGTCTCTCCTGGGTCTCACACGGGTCAGGCCTGCATGGAGTGACAGACACCGCAGAGCAAGGGCGAGCTGGCCAGTACCGGGCTGCAGGTGTGGCCCAGAAGGGAGAAGCACTCCCAAGAAGGCCAGCGGGTGAGCGAGGACTGGGGACCTCCCCGTGCGGACCCCTCCCCCAAGCCTCCCTGACGCAGCCAGGGGAGGAGTGACCCTCAGGCTCCACAGCATCGCACCGGTGGTGTCCCCTTCCTGTCCCCTGGCCCACAGACTGCAACTCCTCCCCACTGAGCTCGGCCAGTCCCGCCCTGGCTCTGCCCTCCCTGTGCTCCCCGTCCTCCCTCCCCAACCTGCCCTCTGGCTCTCCACGCAGAGAGCCCTCGGGCCATCGCTCTGGTGGCCTATTAGTTTGCAAACCCCCGTCCCCTCCCACTGGCCACCACATTCAGCATGGCTCCCCCAAGCCCTCCCCCAGAGGGCTCACGCTGATGCCGCCCTGTCTTCCCTCTGCCCTCCCAACACTCTCCTCGGAACCTTCCTGCCGCCTGTCTGTCTTCCAGATCACCGCCAAGGAAGCGGGCTGCCCTCTCCCGGAGGGGCGCCCCTCCTCCTGGACCCCGAGTCGCCTCTCCCTCTCGCTGACGCCAGCCCCTAATGTGGCCTGGATTCACCCTGGCTACTTTTCTACAGCTGCCCACGTGCTCCTGGTCCTAAACATAGTGGGAAGTGCATGTGTGTGCATGTATGTGCATGTGGTCTACAAGTGTGTGACACAGCGTGTGCTCGGGTGCATGTGTGTGCATGTATGTGTGGTGTGTGTGACACTGTGCATGTGTGGGTGAGTGCAGGTGTGCGTGTGTGTGCATGTGTGCATGTGTGTGTGACAGCATGTGTTCGGGGTGCATGTGTGTGCATGTATGATGCATGTGTGTGTGGTGTGTGACAACATGTGCATGTGTGGGTGAGTGCAGGTGTGCGTGTGTGTGTGCGTGTGTCCGTGTGTCACACGATGGCCCGTCGCAGTCCTACCTCGACGCTGACCTCACGCTCCTCCTCGAGGTCCGTCTTGTTGCCGACCAGCATGACCACCACATCTCCCAGAGGGAGCTCCTTCTCCAGGTCCCTCAGCCACTGCTGAGCCTTGCAGAAGGAGTCCTGGGACAGAAGTGAGGCGACACTCAGGGGTGGCCCTCAGCGCTGGCCCCAGAACAAAGAGCAGGTGCAGATGGCCACAGCATGTAAAACGGCGTACAACCCCACTGGCTGTATGGCGGACCAGACCGTGCCCCACCCCCGAGGGCTGCTCTGTCCCCTCGGAAGGGGCAGCGCGTCTTCTCCAGGTTTGTGGGCGTCCAAGTCACAGGGCAGCTCGTTCCCCACAACAAGGCCTGGGAGGCTGGAAGCTGTGGGACGTTCGGGCCAGACCTCCAGCTCCTGCAGCCCCCACTCCCGGAGGCCCTCAAGGACTTCTCTGTGCAGGAGGCTTTGGGGGAGTGACTGTCACCCTCAACCCTGATCCAGGACCCCGCAGACCTGGGCCTCCCCTCTCCCTCCCTGCGGCAAAGCTGACCAGGCTGGCCCGCCTTCAGCCGCAGGCCCCCGGGCTCCTGAAAAGGACAGAAGTGAGGCGACACTCAGGGGTGGTCCCCAGCACTGGCCCCCAGAACAAAGAGCAGGTGCCGATGGCCACAGCATGTAAAATGGCGTACAACCCCGCCGGCTGTATGGCAGACCAGACCGTGTCCCCCGCCCCCCGAGGGCTGCTCTGTCCCCTCGGAAGGGGCGGCGCGTCTTCTCCAGGTTTGTGGGCGTCCAAGTCACAGGGCAGCTCGTTCCCCACAACAAGGCCTGGGAGGCTGGAAGCTGTGGGACGTTCGGGCCAGACCTCCAGCTCCTGCAGCCCCCACTCCCGGAGGCCCTCAAGGACTTCTCTGTGCAGGAGGCTTTGGGGGAGTGACTGTCACCCTCAACCCTGATCCAGGACCCCGCAGACCTGGGCCCCACGCCTCCCCTCTCCCTCCCTGCGGCAAAGCTGACCAGGCTGGCCTGCCTTCAGCCGCAGGCCCCAGGGCTCCTGCTCCCTGGCCCAGAGGCCCTGACCTTCCTGTTCCCCTGCCCCTCGCCACCCACTGCCCCGCTCCGGCTAGAGCCTTCTTGCAGGAAGCCGCCACCCCCCAGGGCTGGGGTTCATGCCCCTCCCATCAACCCCCACAGGACCCCACCCCGCGCTTCAGCTCTAAGTGTCCGCTCACTTATGCTTAGCCTCTGCCCGATGGTACTCCAGGTAGGGCGTGGGCAGCTAGGGCCCGCGTCCTGTTCTGTGACACCCCCCTCACCAACTCAATGGCCCTCAAGGGATGGCGAGCAATGGATGGCGCTCTGTGCGGGCTGCTCTGGTAGGGTCAGAGAGACGTAAAATCAACTATGCAGGAGGGAGGGCTTCCTGGAGGGGGCGACCAGTTATCACTGATGTGTCATGATTCTACCACATGGCACCTGGACAGATCAGTCACACAACGCCTTCAGAAGGCAGTGTCCCGGGGCCTGGGAGGGCAGAAGGCAGATGCCCTATGGGGCGGGTGGGGCCATGCCCCAAGGGGAGCCCCACCTTGCTGGAGATGTCATAAACCAGAAGTGCAGCGTCGGCGCCCCTGAAGTAGAGGTGGCAGACGCTGTGGTACTTCTCCTGGCCGGCCGTGTCCCAGATCTCTAGCTTCACAGACGCAGCACCCACGTCCACCAGCTTTGTGAAGAAAGCGCCTGGAACAGGGAAGCGCAGAGGGGCCTTTATGTGTAGGCCGGGTCCTCCAGGCCGGGCTGGCATGAGCCCCGGGCTCAGCCCAGTCAGAGAAACGAGCTTCCTGTCGCCCAGAGCCGGGGAGGCTGGGCGAACCCCTCTTCTGCAAGACAGTGATCTCCACGCAAAGCCAAGTGCTACATGTCATTTGTGGCAGGTGCTTTGCAGGTCCCACAGGGCCTCTGGAGGCGAAGATGAACTCCCAGGGCCCTAACTCGAAACCTGACCGCTTTCCAAAGTGATCTGATTTGGAAATTATTGTTTAGAAGCACCAAGATGTTCTGCCCCCACAATGTGGGGGTATGTCACATAGAGAGTGAGACAAGGGACAGGGAGCCAGCAGGGCAGGCCAGTGTCCAGAGCTGAGGGAAGTTGGCAGGATGCAGCCTCCTGCCAAAGTGACTGCCCGGCCCACCCCCCACGTGGGCTTCGGAACCCATTGGGAGATTCTGCAAACGTGGCCTCACGTCTGAAATTAAAACTTTCACCCTGCAGCTCGTGTGTTGGTTTCCGGGGGCTGCCATAAGAAATCACCAGAAACTGGGGAGCTTAAAGCAAAGGCGTTTATCCTTCTCATTCCGAAAGCCAGAGGTCCGAACTCAAGGTGCTGCCTGGGGTAGGGGGTCCTTCTGGAAGCTTCTTCTGGAAGCCTCACTCAATGCTTGCCAGTGCCCGTTCCTGGGCTTGCAGACGTGCCGCTCCCGTCTCTGCCTCCCTGGTCATGGGCCCTCCGCGCCCTCCGCGCCCTCCGCGCCCTCCGCGGCTCTGATGGGGACACCAGTCGTTGGACTCAGGGCCACCCGAAATCCAGGACACTCTCATCTCAACACCCTTAACCGACTGCATCCGCAAAGACCCTTGTTCCAAGGAAGACCACATGCTTGGGCTCTGGGAGTTACGATGTGGACATATCTTTCGGGGGACACAATTCAACCCACTGCAGACGGGATAAGGGACGGGGCTGGGCTGCGGGTTTGAGTGCCCTTGTAAGGAGAGGCGCAGAGAGTCCCCTGTCTCTCCGCTCCCTCCCTCCATGCGAGCACAAAGAAGAGGCCGTGTGAGCACACGGCAAGGTGACGGCCGCCTACGAGCCACGGGACGAGGCTTCTGGGAACATCGGCCTCTTATCCGCACCCTCTGTCCATCTTCCACCCGGTCACACCACGTTTCTGAGTTCGATTTTGCTGTGTCTTAAAAGCCGTCGCCGGCAGCGCGCATGCGGCAGAAAACTCAGCTCTGCCTCCTCCGCTTCACAGCCCTGGCCTCCGATACGTTCGCTTTTGGTTCGGCCCTGTTCCCTCTCCCTCTGGGGGCTTCTGGAGCCTTCCGCCTGGTGCATGGACTGGATAGACCCCAACTGGACAATGAATGACGTAGAATTAACTGGGGACTGCTCTCTAACTGGTATTTTATGGCTCCAAATTAAAAAGTGTCTCTAATAAATGTTATCAACATAGAAATGGTTTTGCTTTTTTACCTTTTTAACTTAAAAAACAAACAGCTGCTTCTGCTCACTTGCACCCTCTGCTGGAAGGGCACATGTAATGCATGGCTTCTCGGGGGCACTGTGGCTGAGGCCAAGTTCTCGTTTCGAAGGGAAGTGAGTTGGCGGCAAAGCTGGATGCGTCGGGTGCTTCCCCCCCACGCCCAGCCAGTCTGGGATTCGTTCTGGCTTCTGCTAGCAAATACGCATACAAGCGCTAGATGTCACCATCCTTCCGAAAGATGTCACTAAAAAAGTGCCGCCCAGGGAAATGGGCCAGAATTCCCGCTGTGGCGACTTAGGATCGCAGGAAGAGGGAGCCGCCCACCGCCCCTGCCAGGCCCTCCCGCCGCGGGTCAGGAAGCCTCCACGGTGACTGGGAGTGGCCCGGAGCTCCAGGGTCTTTCCAGCCTCCTCCCGGTGTGCGGGGCTGGGGGGTGCGCCCACTTGGGGTTCCCACTCTGACTCAGCTTCCGGTCTGTCTGTCACAATTCCTGCTCCAACTCCTGCTTCCGCTGGATGGATGGGCTCTGCCGGAGGCGGCTGGGGCACTGTTCTGGAGAGCGAGCCTGGCACTCAGCAATCCTGCCCACCCAGCCACCCATGACCCAGGCCCTCTGGAGGGGGCCCAGACACCCCTGATCTTCCTGAAGGCTGGAGAATTTGGGAGCCTGCCTGTCCTGAGGGCAACAACGCCGACTGGCCAGGCCCTGGGCCCACCCTGCTCTTAGAAGTCTGAGGAGAAGGTGACAGCCGTGAGTCATGACGTGGTAATCCACGACTTGAGTCGGCCTGCACAGAGCCCGCCACTGGACGGCAACTGCATCCCCGTTTCGTGAGTGAAAACACGGGGGTGCGAGCGAAGGCCACTGGCCCGTGGCCGGCCGGCCGCTTCCTCGTTGGCCTCACACTCACCAAGCCAGCACCTCCAGCACTGCCCGCTGCCCCTCGGGGCGGGGCGCCCTCGCCAGGCGGTGACTTGGCCCCTCTGCCCGCCCTCCTGACTAGGGTGAGGTTCCTCCGTGTCTGCCATCGGGGAAGCTGGACAACGCAGGCTACTGTCACCCAGAAGAATGGCTGTGCTCCTCTCCTCATCCGAAAAGCAGGGCTGTCCCTCCACTGATGGTAACAGAATAACAAATAATAACACGGGGGCTGTCCATCATAATGACAGAAGAACATAATAACCTAATTACAATAATATAGACTATATCATAATAAAGTACTAAGAAACATAATAATACATTTTATTAATTGATTTCCTATTCATGTGATAATCATAACATCTACCTCTAAAGGTTGTGGTGTCAAGGAGTGTATAAGATGCGTCAAGCAGACCTCGAGATTTGAGTGGGGATGGTCATTCCTACACGGGATTTAGCTCCTAAAAGCAAAAGAGGCTTACTTCTGTGTCCCCAACACCCAGTATAATTGCTGGCACGTAGTAGGTGCTCAATAAACCAGTGCTGGCCCCATGGCTTGGTGGCTGATTAAATAAAGAAGAATTGCTAAAGTCGGCTAGAGACTGTGGGCCACCTGCCAATCTACTCTGGCTGTTTCCTGCCTCCGAACACTCCCCCATGGCCCAGGGACACCGAGGTAGGACAAAGGCTCAGGCTCAGCCCCAGCCCCAGCGTGGAGGGAAGCCTTGACTGGAGGGGTTCTTCCCTCCAGAGACAGGAGCTGGGCCTGGGGCTGGGAGCAGGGACGGGGACTAGAGGCTGGGGGAGGGGCAGCTATTCAGCTCACTTCAGAATCTTCCAGTCTAAAGCAGGCCAGGGACAAGGCCACACCCAAGAGATATTCACTAAATGTATGAATGAATGAATGAATGAATGAATGAATGCATGCACGAATGCATGAATGAGTGGATGGACTCAGAAACAGGCGGCCTTTGGTGGCGGAGTCGTGAATGCATGAAGGAGTGAATGGACTCAGAAACAGGCGGCCTTTGGTGGCGGAGTTCAGATTTGACACCAAAGCTCTGATTCCCAGTGAGGTGTCCTCCGTCATGCTGGCCGCCCCCCAGGGGGCCTGGCACGAAGAACCTGCCATTTCGGAAAACCCCGGTCTCCGGCTCCCCGGGCAGACGCCGGAGGAGACTGACAGCAGATGCTTCTCCGACTGTTACGGCTGAGAACCGAGCAGTGCTGGCCTCTTCAAGAAGCGCGGCGAGAGGGTCTGCGCTGCCCGCCGCCCCTTCCTGCTGCCTCCACCCCCACCCAGGCCGGGCTGGTAAACTGAGTCCAGGCAGAAAGGGAGCGCGTGTGGGGACCCTGCCTGGGGGGCGGCCTTAGCCGAGGGGACCAGCAGGGTGAGAAGCCAGCTTGTCCTTCGGGTCCCCCTCCACCGCCCTGTCCCTCGCATAGCCACCCCGGGGGCCAGAGCCCCTGAGCCCCGGTCCCCCGTCCCTCGCGGGCCCGCCCACGGGGCCCCATCGCTCCCTGCCCAGCGCTCGGGGCTGC